ATGCCACTGATGAATACTATTATAAGTTAACTTACAATGATGGAAAAAGAAATTCATGTTGTGAAGGTAACCATACACCACGAATAAATCGATCAACAGATGACATTATTGATTCACCACAGCCTAAATAATAGAATTGAAATCATATATATATATATATATATGTATATCTATTATTTATTTTTACCTCTAATAGCTCCAATGATTACAACAATAATATAACTATCGGGATATAAAATTGAAGTTAAACGTACACCATCATAGATTTTTTTTGTTCGTTGAATTTCTTTTCCAATACCAATAATAAGACGAAAAGGTATAAATCGTAATAAATAATTCATAGAATCAAATGGGAAATAAAATACACAATACCAACATACTGTAGCTAATAGAAGATGTTGATGATGAATAAAATCTTTTAATAGACTTTCACCAAGTAGAAAATTCGTTAAAATTGAACCGGAAAAACATAGTATTATTGTCGATATCCAACATGATAATGGATGACGACGTGTAAAATTTTGTGTGGCTAAATAAAAAAAAAACAAACCATTAACAATTATATCAACATAGTACAAAAAGAAAAACCACCAGTGGAAACTATTGTTTTTTTGTTTTTGCTATAGGCTATGACAGACAGATGTATTTGTTATAACATATGATAACAAATGGACAGAACTGTTTTATTCAAGATTCTACAGACAATTGTATCTTACAAACTGAAAGAGATATAACAAAAACTTTCTTGCGAATAACTTTGTATTTGTAATTTAATCTTTTTGGATTGATACATAGCAAACTTTGAAACTCTATAAGAACCTGACTCAGTGTCCATATTCTAGACTAGTATTGATTGTATATAGATATCTATTTTTTACGAAAAAAAATATATTGCTATGCGATGAAATCTAACGATAAATTCGGTAATTTATCAGAATATTTTTATTAGTTTATCATCATGATTATCACAAGGTTAATTAGATCAGATAATTCTAATGGTTATAAAAATAACAGAATTTGAATTTGCTAAACAATTTCATTAAGTTAGAAAAATACATTACTAATTTTAGTCTATTATTAATAGTATTTCATTTCAGTAATACTCTATACTTCTCAATTGGCTTTAGCCTAGTGTAAAGAAACCCTTTGAACCGAGTCGAAGATTCCACAGTCGATTTCTTTGTATGAAATATAATTCGAAGTCTAGAACTCAGAATTAGCAACCATTGTTAATTTCTGAAAAAATACAAAACGGACATTTTTTTAGATATGTTCGAATTATGAAAAAAAAAACCGACATTATATATCGAAAATGTACAAATAGATTAGTAATAATTGACAAGCTTTTGACACATTAAGGCTTCTATCTTCCATACACAGACATTTTCATATTATAAAAAAGAATGGAGTGTTTCCATTTACGGCTATCAATGTCATAGATACAGCGACCTATTAGCTTAATGTTTTTTCTATATCAGACAATTTCCAAAAAAAAAAAAAAAAAAAAGATCAATTATTCCTTACTGATCGCTATCTTTAGCTTTGATCAGAGCACTAGGTTTTATACAGAATTTCTGTAAATAATGTATACTATTGAAAAAAATTGTATTGTATTTCATAATATTATTTAAAAAAAAAATCAATATTTCAAACCTGCTTGATATTGTTGTATATCATCTCGTACTTGTAAAGCAGTCACTAAATAATGACACATATCAAATAATGGATATATTCGTACATGTGATAATTGTGATCCAATATAGATTAATAATTCTTTATTCATTTCTTCTATGCCACCGATTCATTCAAAACGAAAAAATCTAAAAACAAAAAAAAAACCAATTAAAATTCACATATCAATATTTTTTCATCTTTATATGTTTTAGCTTCATATAAAATTTTTGTTTCTATCTCTGAACGTTTTAATACAATCATACTTTCACCTTGAGCTTGAATATCATTCATAATATTTAATATACCTTGACAACAAATAACACCATATCCAATTAAATTATTTTGTTTATTTAATATATCTATTGCACGATTTATTGCATAATGAAACCAAGCATTTGATAATGAATATGTATTTATATGTTTATTATCAACATCTTTTGGTGTATCATGTTGATAATCATAACCAGGCCAAAGTATATTCCATTCACCAAGATTTAAAGCAATAATTATAAAAAGAAAACGTCGTTGTTTTATATTGAATAATTCTATTTTATTATATTGTTCATAAACTTGTGGTATCCAACTATCAGCACATATAAGTACACCAATATCAATATTTGTATTTGGAATTGAATAGATTAATGGTTGTTTTTGATAATTATCAATAAAACTAATTTCATCATAAACAGGATATTGTTTACCTGATTGAAGACAAATTGAACCATGATTTGGTTCAAATACATATGATATATTATAAAAATTTTTTTCTTCATACATAAAATTAGAACCAGCAACAATAGTACAATTTGTTTCATAAGATAATTCACTAAATAATTTTTTATAAATATTATATGTTTGATCAGAAAATAAACTAAACCATGAACGTTTTATTAAACCTAACCATGTCAATTTGGAATGATAATTTTTATAAATTTCTTTAGTAAATAAACGAATATGAGTTAATAATGTATAACATATAAATAATATATGACGATTTATTTTTGTAGTTTGATAATTAAAAAAAAAATTACGTAAATATTGTGGCATTGGTACACACATTAAATAAAGCCATGTGCCTGTACATTCTGGAAGAATAACAAGTGTTGGATGTTGTGCACGTATTTCATTAAATAAGATATTACTTGTAGTTGATAAAGGTTTTATACTTAAACGAATACGTTCTAGAAAATATTGTTTTAGGATTGAATAAGATTGATAATGATATTGAGTTAAATAAGTTTGTAGACAAATGATTTGTAATGGTTGTTGTTGTTGTTCCATTTCATTAAAAGGGCATTCGTCAAGCAATATGAACAAACAATTTTGTCTGCTTTGACCTTGTTATTAGTAAGAAGAAGGTGGTATCTATTGGTTATTGACGTCGTTTATTACTGTGTCTCACTCGCTAACCTCATTATCTTTCTTTTCTTATCTGTTATAAAGAAAAAAGAAAGATTTTTCTCCGTCTTACTGATATCATTTTTAGCTTGATAATAACAGAAAACCACAGAAAAAGAATATGATGATAAATATCGAGAAAGAAGAAGAAGAAGAAGAAGAAAAGAAAATTATTATAGCTTTGGTAAATATCATAACGAAAAGCAGAATGATAAGAAATCCTGATGTATAATAGATGGATATATTCACCGGATATATTAGATGAGTAAATCATAAGTTTAAAAGAAATTTTTATTTATTTATAAATAATGTAAGATTTAGAGTATTATTTTTATTGATGAAATTTATTAAATGTATTTAAAAAAAATTCAGATAAATGATCAGGATCGAGTTTCGATGATTAGAAATACTAACTGATTTATGTTTCAGTTCGTGTAAAAATTTCATTCAATGGTACAGATTTTATTCTAATTGAATTTAAATATCCATGTTAAACATAAAATGATGTAGTTATGACTACTATTGATGCTAAAATTGATTATGACTAAGTAAAGTTTGAGTCGAAAGGAAAACAGCGGACTTCAAAGATTTCATGATACTTTTGAGTCTAAAATTTCCACTGTATACTCCATCGGATCCCGGGATCAACTTGATGAGCTCTACTCTACT